AGCCTATTGGGCTCCACAAAGTTAAGGATCAAGTTCCCTAGAGTGTCAGTAAATTCTGAGTGGGAACAGCTAACTGAAATGGATGTGATCAATTAACATTCTCTGACTTCATAAACAAATAAGATTTTGTCTTCTATTACTATTTCCGATTGATCTTTTTCCCCAGAGCCTAGGACCATTTTCATGGGAATTATTAAGTAAAGGAAATAATCAAATATCAAAACTCTAAGAAAAATTATTGTTGCAATAGTCATGGAAGTAACAAACTAGTCATGGAATTAATAAACTATGGTCCATAGACTAAAAAGAGCCACCACTTAATTTTGTAAACAAAGTCGTATTGAAAAGTAATCACATCCACTCATTTAAATGTTGTTTTGGCCTGCTTCTCTGCCTCAATAACAGCTGACAGATGAAACAGAAAAGTCAAAAATATTTCTATGATTAATACCCTTCTACGACTTAGAAGGAACATTGGGAAAGTCAGCTTTTGTGGATTTTTTCACTAAAATATATGACAATTACTTAAACTACATACCAATGAAATTACTATTAAAATACAGTAACTTAGAAACATAGTGCATAAGCTTTCTGGAATAAAGCAATTGAGCATATACAAGGGGTACTGAGTTTTGACAGAAGGGTCTAGATCATACATTGGAATAAGAATAATGTTTTCAACAAACAGAGCTAGAAAAACTGGATGTACAAATGTAGAAGGATGAAATGAGTTCTACAGCTGTCACCACATACAAAAATGTAGTCAAGATGGACCAAAGCCCTAAATTAAAGATATAAAGATTATGAAGTTGTAGCTTACCAGCAAATGCAGAAATTAGGCTGGAACACTGGTCATACTGGGCTAGGATGTCACACCTACCAGTTTGTATGAGCCAGGGATTGAGCAGGGCCAGGTTCCAGCACCCCACAGCAAGAGTTAGGACTGAGGGCAGCCTGGGTCAGACCAGGCTACAGCACCCAAAGACAAGGCCAGGACAGGGGAGGGGCTATGCCAAGCTGGTCAGAGCAACCACTGGCATGCACACAATCTATGGCTGAAAACAGGCCTGGCTGGGGAGTTAAGGGGACGCCCTGGCTGGATTGGGGTTCCCACTGGTGAGTGTAAGGACCGTAGTGGGGGCTGTAATCTAGTCTGGATATGGCTGCAATGTCCCTCAGCACAAGTGTGGACTAGAGTTGGGGTGCAACAGACTGGGCTAGATTCCAGCAGCCACTGGTGCTCATGAGAACCAGGGTAGGTTTAGGACCGGCTGGGCTGTCTCTTCCTCTGCTAAGCCATGTCTGACTTGTGTCTGGGTGTGGACCAGGCTTGGCTGAACTGTAACATCCAAAAGTAAAAGCCGGAACAGGTGAAAAAGTGGGGAAAGGCCACAGTTCCTGCTAAGACAGGAGGTGAACTATGTAGGGCTGGCCCATGGACCCACCCGTGTACATGAGATCTGGCAATGGGAGAGGTTCTGATGGAGGTGCTTGGGAACTCCTCTGTCAGGACACAGTCCCTTCAGGTGAACACAAGAACCACCATAGGCAGCAGCCCAGACCAGGCCTGGTAATGGTACCCACTGGCATATATTTGGTGCACGTCAAGGGCGAACCAGGCTGGGCCAGTTCATATCACCCACTGGTGAATCTAAGCACCAGAATGGAGCATGAGTCAGGCCAGGTTGGGCCACAACACAAGTCAGTTCACATGAGGGCTGGGAGACTGGGGGCCAGCTGGGCTGGGCTAAGCTGTAGCTCTCACCAGCATTAACTCGAATTGGAGGTGGGACAGGCCCAGCCAGGCTACAGCATCCACTGGCAAATGCTGAGGTGAGGCGGGCCATGCCAGATTGGGCTGCAGCACCCAACTAGCACACGTGAGATCCAGGGAGTGATGGGGCAAACCCAGGAAAGAGGCTGTGTGGGACTCCCTGGCTGGACTACCATTTCCACCTACGAGCGTGAGAGTTGGGATGGGGGCAGACAAGAATGGACACGGTCTCATGTGAACTGGATCAGGGGAAAGCTAGGGTAAGTTAACTGTTCCAGAGTGGATGTGGGTTGTGGGTGTGGGTTGGCTGGGCTTTGCTGCAGCATCAGCTGGTAGTGCTGGCAAGGAGGACAAACTCTGTCTAGCTAAACTGTAGAACCACCTGGAGAGTGCAAAATCCAGGAGTGGGAGTGGGTGCAGTAAGGAAGCAGTGGGCACCTTCTTCTTGGATTGCCACTCCCACCGGTGAGCATGAGGACCAGCACTGGAGCAAACCTGGCTAGACAGAGAATGACACCTGCTGGCACATGTGTGGACTGGATAGTGAGGATGGATGGGTTGAACTAGGCTTCAATGCCCATTGACATGTATGAGAGTTGAATGGGATGTGGAACAAACTAGACCAGTTGGCTGTACACAATGACAAGCATGAGAACCAGGGCAGGGGCAGGCCTGGTGGGGGTTATTGCGGGTTTCTCCATCTAGACCGCAGTCCCCAGTGGTTTTTATGAGGGCCAAGTGTGTGGTGGGGAGGACCAGGATAGGCTGCAACACCCACTGGCTTGTGTAGACAGAGTTGGAGACAGAACTGACCCAGCAACTGCAACCACCAGCATACACATAAGCTGATCATACAAAAACAAACAAACAAAATACTAGCACACAAAAAATCAGTGGAAGAAGAATTAGCACATTTACTTAGCGACTACTTTCTGACCTAGGGAAACTTCTCTAAACAAAACTTGAATGAGGATGACTTCTTAGAACTATTTCACCAAAAACATGTCATCTTATAAAGTTAGGACATACTTTTTAAGTGAAAACTTTCTGTTGCAGCTAATATTCACTGAGAATAAAACTTTTAAAGATCATATACCCTTGGTACATTTTTTAATAGCATCTACGATGTTTCAGTTTAGTGACTGTCACTTTTTAATTTAAAATGCTGAGGAAAACTAACCAAATGAAGATGCAATCATTATCAAATCAGCTAATATGCAAAACAGTCCTATATAATCCAAAATACAAACAAAACGTAAACATAAATAAACATGTTCGGTTATTTTTTCTACTGATAAAGCAATAAGCAATGGTGGTAAATCATGAATACAAGTCACAACAACAGTATCCTCATTCAATAACATAAACTCTCCCTTCATGAAAAAACAGACATAACCTCTGGTGGATCTTTGGTGCTGCCTGCCTGGAAATCTATTTTCTTCCACTCACAAGTTATTCCAAAGATCATTTTACACCTTCCTTCCCAATCTATAAACCCCATTCTCCATCACCACTCTCAGTACTCATTTTTCCACTACCAAACCTGTGAAACCACCAGTGTCTATATACTAGCACTCTGCCTTTCCTTCCCTTGTAATTGACAGACAATAATCAGCTCCAATAATCAGACTAAACCCAATTCTTCCTACATCTATTCTTGAACCAAACACAAGTAGGCTTTTCTCCTCACCAGATCAGAAAAACACATTTATCCTGGTCTCCAGAAACCTTCACATTTGTAAACCCAACGGTCATTTCCAAGATCTTACTCAACTTCTTAGAAGCAGCTGAGTCATTCAGAACCTCTTTATTTTCTTCCTTGACTTCTGAAACACCACACTCTCAATTTTCCTCCTACCTCACTAGCTTCTGCTTCTCAATCACATCTGCTTAATTCTTCCTATTCCAAACAGTACTCCTGAATTCAGGCTCTTCTCATTAATAATTTTATACATGCAAAAACTTCTGATGCCATTTAATGCCAATAGCAACTAAATAGGATCAATTTACGCAGAGCTTCAGGACTTCACATGTGAATACTTCATGCTTCACATGTCTAGGATATCACTCCTACTCTTCCACAACAAACAAAACTCGGCCCTTCCTTGGCTTTTCCCACTTCTGTATATATCACCCATATCATCTGCCCAAATCCTAACACTTCCTCACTGTATCTGAACTTACCTAACACCCTACTACATGATCTCCCTGCCTCCACTCTCGCCTCTCCACATTACTTTCTCAAAAGAGCAGGCAGAAAGACTCGGCCAGCCCATAAGCCAGATCATAATACACCTTTGTTAAAAGACCTCAAATGGATTCCCATCGTCTGAAACAAAAAGTAATTTTTGCAAATACAGGCAATGAGCTACATGCTTCCCAAGTGGTCATGACTTAATCTTGTTATAAATAATATAAAGCCCTGTTATAAATACAGTATCCCTTTGATACAACTATTTTAATGGTAATCTTCACAAAGGATTGCCATGGAATAAATAACAAAGAAAGCAATTTCAAAGAAAAATTTATTCTGCTGCCAATTATTAGTGATTGGCAAAATTATAGATAGATGGATAGATAGATTAATTGATTGATTGATTTAAGATTATTCCAAGTATGCTACACTGTCCGACATTGTCTGTACCAGCAATGTTAGGACACACATAAATAACAGACTGATGGAATCATGACTCTTTATGAAGATCTATGCTACTGTAGCAACATGGGGAAAATCCGTCAGTGGGGTGGGAGGTTGACCGGGGGAAATCCCAGTCTCTATGAAATTGCACCATAAAATTCAAACATTCAAAATAAAAATTTAACAACAACAACAAAAAAGATTATTCCAAGATGCTTTCTGTAAATTCATGATGCGTTACTCTAAATATCTTCTTCTACTCATGGCATAATGATGAAGAACCAAAGGAACATTAAGACAAGACAAACCAGCAGTAGTCAAACTAACAGCACATTCCCAATAACTAAACTCCAGCCCAAAACAAGTTCTTAAATGACAGATCAAGCACATAATGAGAAGCTTAAAGAAGTAACCAGAAATTCTACTTTAAAATTAAGCCTACATATATTTCTCAGCCAGATCAAAAATATTTAACCTTTAATATGTCTTTTAAAAGATTTAATGAAATAAACCTACATTAAGGAGCACCAAATATATCTAAAAAAATCAGCTCCTAAGAATTCAAGGTCGTCTACGAATTCACCTTACCTTAGATGCCATTCTCATAAAAAGTTTGTTCTGATTTTCTGCTGTTCCCATCTTTTCATTTTTGACTAAATCATTTAGGCTCAGATTATCATCATCATGAAAGTATCTGACTCTTTCTTTTTCCTCATGGGTTGAAACCTATGATAAAACAAACATTATTTAGTGAACAATGAATCTCCAAAACATTTCAATGGATTATCTATAAATTTGATGTTAAGTATAACTGTTCTACTATGTATCTATTCTCCCAATTTACCTCTATTTTAGTTGATTCCATGTTAAAGAATTTTCATTAAAATTACACTCTCTGCCTTCTACCCCTCTATCCTTATCTTCTCCTCAACATGGGATATAATGCCATCTATTTGTGGCTCTGCATAACAGCTAAATTGACTAAGACACTCACTTCTAATTAGTAAATTCTTATTCTTTGGGGGCCAGAATGATGGCTCAACGGGCTTATTCTCCACCTACAAGCACCACCATCCCATTTGGTACCAGCTCTAGTCCTGGCTGTTCCACTTTCCTTCCAGCTCCCAGCTAGTACACCTGGGAAAGTAGTAGAGGATGGTCCAAGTCCTTGGGACCCTGCACCCACATGGGAGACTCAGGAAGCGACAGGCTTCTGACTTCAAATCAATTCTTCTCTGGCTATTGCAGCCATTTGGTGAGTGAGCCAGTGGATGAGAGATCTTTCTCTCTATCACTCCTTCTCTACCTTTCCAACAAATCTACTTTTTGAACAAAAAATAAATAAATCTTTATTTAAAAAAAAAAAAACAAAAAACTCGTGTTCTAGAAGTACCTTTATTAGAAAAAAAGTCAACCTTCTAATACGCATATAATTCATTCCTGGTCTGTCTTCTCAGTTAGCTCAACCTCTGTGTAAGTAATGGAAATGTACTATTTACATCCTCCTAAATCAGGTCTTTCATTTCTTTGGAGAACTTTGGAAACCAGGGTAGCGATATTTTTCCCAATATTACAATTCTTGTCTTCACTAACTTAAACCTCCTGGTTCTGTGACTTGAATCTCTTAGAATTTAATTTCTGTCCCTCTTGTCCATTCATTATACTCCAAAACCAAATCAGAATTCTGAATGAATGTATCTTACTTCTTCACTCATCATTCAACAAGGCCCTTCGTGTGTAACAATATGTTTAAGAAGCCCTAGACAGTTCTGTCATTTCATCTAATTGAAACCTTTACTAGTCTCCCGCCACATCTCAACTCTAATACCCTAAAACCTTCCATTAAATATCTGTTCCACTCCTGTTTGTTCAAGGAATTAATCTGTCTGGAGCAGCAAAAAACACATCCAATGGGCAAATAATAAAGATCCTAAAGAAAAGTTTCAAATGATCAATTGTTTTGTACATTCAATTATTGCTTGTATATTCTTTCAAAACTAAAACAAACCTAATTTGAGAAAACTGAATATGTGTTTTTTAAGAGCCTCAGGGTAGTACTAAAAACTAATTGCTAGAGCTGGAAGATGGAAAAGGAAATTAGGTTTATAAAGAATCACAGCACCTACTTAATTAAAACATTACCATGTAAGGCTGCTCCATCACCAGGTATCAAACTAGCTAACACAAGTAAAAATCTGAGTGACTGAAGTATTTCCAAAGAGTTGAGTACGTATGCAAAAAGAACCTTCAAACTTTAAAGGAAAAAAGCTATCATTAAAATTATCAGTAACATTCAATGTTTCACAATTATGTGAAAAACATAAGTTAGATTTTACTCTATACAACACAAAGGGCTTTAAGAATAAAAGTAATAATAAAATTTGTTACCTAGTATTTCATTAAGAAGCTACATTTCAGAAAATATGTTTTGGTCTGATATTAAAAACAAAAAAAGCCCCAAGGCAAAAAGGAATTCTGACATATGCAAAACAAACCATCTGTCTCTTCCTTCTTCCTCCTCGTGCTTCCAGGGAATTTTCTGACGTGTTCACAGGCCAGGCTCTTCCAGACTGATCAGTTCTGACAAGGACCACTTCCTGCTGGTCTTCATTCTAGGGAAAAATTTAGAAATCATTTTTAAAATTGCTGTGAGGAGTGATGAATGCTAATACCTCTTTAACAAAGATTTTTATTTTATTCATTTGAAAGGCAGAGTTACAGAAAAAGAGAAGGAAAAGAGAGCATGCTAATCCTCTGATGGTGGTGCTGGCATCACTTACGGGTGCTGTTTCATGTCCCAGCTGCTGAACTTCCTCTGCAGCTCCATGCTAATGGCCGGAGCGAGCAGGAAAGTTCAAGCTTTGCACTCCTGCACCCACATGGAAAATCCAGAAAAAGCTCTTGGCTCCTGGCTTTGGATCAACTCAACGCTGATAGTTGTGGCCATTTGGGGAGTGGCTCAGTGAACAGAATCCGTTTGCCTCTCTCATGCTGTTTCTCATTCTCTCTCTCTCTCTCTGTACATCTTTCAAGTAAAAACAAATTGAGAGGCAGGTATGGCGATACAATGAGTTGGAGTGCCTCATTTCATGCCCCACCTCTGCTTCCAATGCAACTGCCTACTGACATGCCTGATAGATACTAGATGATGGATCAAATGCACAGGTTCCCACTGCCCACATGGAGTTCAGGCAGAGTTCCTGGCTCATGGTTTCCACCTGGCCCAAGCCCAGTTGTTGTAAACATTTAAAAAATGGACCAGTAAACAACTGTCTCTCCCCTTCCACTCACCAGGCCACTAATCCTAATTCTTTCAAATAAATTAAGGGTAAAATTTTTTTATTTAAGTCTCATATTCTTGTTAAAGTATGTATTACATACTACACCATTACTTTTTTTTTAAGATTCATTTATTTATTTTTATTACAAAGTCAGATATACAGGGCCCGGCGCGGTGGCACAAGTGGTTAAAGGTCCTCGCCTTGCACGCCCGGGATCCCATATGGGCGCCGGTTCTAATCCTGGCGGCCCCTCTTCCCTTCCAGCTCCCTGCCTGTGGCCTGGGAAGGCAGTCGAGGACGACCCAAAGCTTTGGGAACCTGCACCCGCGTGGGAGACCCTGAAGAGGCTCCTGGCTTCGGATCGGCATAGTATCGACCCTTTGCGCTCACTTGGAGAGTGAATCATCGGACGGAAGATCTTCCTCTCTGTCTCTCCTCTCTGTATATCCACCTTTCCAATGAAAAAATAATAAAAAAATAAATCTTTAAAAAAAATAAAGTCAGATATACAGAGAGGAGAAGAGACAGAGAAGAAGATCTTCCATCTGATGATTCACTCCCCAAGTGACTGCAATGGCCGGTGCTGTACCGGTCCGAAGCTGGGAACCCAGAACCTCTTCCAGGTCTCCCACGTGGGTGTAGAGTCCCAAAGCTTTGGGCAGTCCTTGATTGCTTTCCCAGGGCACAAGCAGGGAGCTGGATGGGAAGTGGGGCTGCCGGGATAGAACCGGCACCCATAAGGGATCCCAGCGCGTTCAAGGCAAGAACTTTAGCCACTAGGCCACAACACCGGGCCCTAGAACCATTACTTTATTTTTCTAATACAATGAGTTACAAATGACATTTTGGTAAACACCATTGCTTTCTGAAGGAAAAAATATATTGGCAAAGCTTTTATAACCACTGACCTCATTTACAAAGTGGAAAATTTCTTTCAAGTAGGACAAGATTTCCCCACGTTTTTTAATTTTGAATTTTTCAATTTCATTGGGAATCTATCTTTTGTCTGAAAGCAGGGATGCATGCTACATTATACTCCCACATCTGTTTTAGACCCCAGTATTCCATCACTACACATTTCCATAAGTGAGAAGCCATGAAACAAGGTCAACAACACGAAAACCTTTTTAAGAACTCACCAAACCCAAATTTTAACTGCTATTTTCCTATGAGGCTTTATAGGTTTGTGGTGAAGCTGTAGGTAACCAGAAAAGATATGCTGATAACACATATATCAAAACTGCTTTTAAAATTTCACTAATTAAATCTTTATCTCATTCCATTTGGCTCAATGGAATCATAACACCCAGTACTTCTCATACTATTACATAATCCAGTGGCATTAATGTGTATGAGAAACAAACTATGCTTCCAGATGTTAGGGAACTCATAGATAAAACAGCAGCAAAGGAAAAGGAAATGGGGTTTCTAAAAGGATTTGTTAGTTAAGACTGCTAATTAAGATGATGTAGAAATTAATTAAACAGAGTCACAAATGAGGAAGAAATAAATCTATTCTTTAGTACAACTTAACTGGTTCTAAAGAAACAAAGGCAGAAAAGTAGAAGCCTTAGAAGTCAAGAAAACAGGGGCTGGCATTGTGAAATAGCCACCTGCGATGCTGGCATCCTGTGTAGGAGTGCCAATTTGAATGCTGACTGTTAATACGCCTAGGAAAGCAGAACAAGATGGCCCAAGACCACAGGCTCCTGTAAGCTACGTGGGAAGCCTGGAAGAAGCTCTTGCTTCCTGGCTATGGTCTGGCTCATTCCTGGACATCGCAACCATTTCAAAGAATGAACCAGCAGATAGAAGACCTTCTCTCTGTCTCTCCCTCCCTACCTCTTATTCCTCTTTTTCTCTCTTTGTAACTCTTCCTTTCAAATAAATAAGAAAAGTCTTTAAAAAAAAAAAACACTTAGGGAAAAGATAAAGATCTCCACAAAGAAACAAATGCACATTCAAATTTTAGAAATAATTTACAGTCCAGTGTGATGGCTCAATTGGCTAATCCTACCCCTTGCAAGCGCCAGGATCCCATATGGGCACCTGTTCATGTCCCAGCTGCTTCACTTCTCATCAAGCTCCCTGCTTATGGCCTGGGAAAGCGATTGAAGATGGTCCAAAGCCTTGGTATCCTGCATCCATTCGGGAGACCCAGAAGAAGGTCCTGGCTCCCAGTTTTAGATCAGCTCAGCTCCAGCCACTGCGACCACTGGGAAGCAAACCAGTGGATGGAAGATCATTCTGTCTCTCCTTGTTTGAGTAAAACTGCCTTTCCAATAAAAATAAATAAATCTTTAGAAAAAACAAAAAAATTAAATTTGTAATGCTTTCTGAAGTGCTCAATATTTGAATGGTTCCTGTATCATGTAATTTTAGCTAAAGGAATACAAAAGGTAATATATGACCTCAGTTTCTGACTCTTCAAATTAAGATTGTTTTTTTTCAATTAGACCATAACCACATTCAGACTGGCTCCAGTGGCCATTTAAAGGACAGATGATGAGCAAAAGAATGGTGACAGGGATTACATGGGATGTTATTTAATATTCTAAGCAAGACATATTGAGGCAATTGACTAAACTATTAAAAATAAAAACATAAAATACGTACAGGAGGAAAGGTAAAGATAACTAAAGCTACTTGGTGACAATCTGAGTGTTTTCTAGAAAAAAGGATTAAAGTTTTCTCCAGGACTTTTAATTAATAAAGATGGCACAATTAAGAGCAGAAGGAAAATTGAACACACACAGTTATGCAGAATGGCTTCATACATCAAGATGCATGATATAAACCTTGTTAAATGTTTATATATTTGCAGGAGGATTAGGAGAGGAGATGTGACCATTCAACTTACTACTCAAGACATCCGCATCCCACACTGAACCCAGGTTCAATACCCTGAACCTGTGCAACCTCCTACTTACGCAGACTGTGCAAGGCGGCAGTGATGATTCAAGTGTTTGGGTTTTTTTTTACTGGATCCCAGCTGGTCTCTAGTCATAATCTCTTTGATACACCTAAAGCTAGTAAACACTATGAAACTAAAATCTGCATCTTTTTGGTTTCCTTTATAAAAGCACATTAAAGTTGACTTTTAAGTATCTTAAACAATTTGTGAACCCAGCACAATAGCCTAGTGGCTAAATTCTCACCTTGTATCCAAACGGGATCCCATATGGTACATGGCCTGGCTGCCCCACTACCCATCCAGCTCTCTACTTCTGGACTGGGAAAGCAGTCAAGGATTATACAAAGCCTTGGGACCCTGGACCCACGTGGCAGACCCAGAAGACCTGGCTCCTGGCTTTGGACCAGCTCAGCTCTGGCCATTGTAGCCACTTGGGGAGTGAACCAACGAATAAAAGATCTTCCTCTCTGTCTCTCCTCCTCTCTGTATATCCGCCTTTCCAATTAAAAAAATTTTAATGATTAAAAATAAATTTGTTATACATTCTGTACTATGGGAAAAGTAATTTTTAAATGCATAAAATACAAAAATTTACTTTAGAGTTGATTAGTTTCACTTTAAATGTATTCCAGTTAGCCTATAAATATGCAATAGAAATATGTGTTCTCCCTCCATGCTCCCATCCAAAAAACATGTAAGAATCAAACTCTTCAGGAAATATCTAAGTCTCAAATCTACTGAATAATCTAAGGACTCATTATTTCTCATATAAGGCCACATTTCATTTTTTCTTAATTATACAACAGAATGCTAATAGCAGATTCAGTGGGGAAAAAAAATAATGAACATGTGGGGTAAGAGAAGCAACTGGGGGCCCAGCACCATGGCCTAGCAGCTGAAGTCCTTGCCTTGAACACGCTGGAATCCCATAGGGTCACCAGTTCTAATCCCGGCAGCCCCACTTCCCATCCAGCTCCCTGCTTGTGGCCTGGGAAAGCAGTCAAGGACGGCCCAAAGCCTTGGTACCCTGCACCTGCATGGGAGACCCAGAAGAGCTCCTGGCTCCTGGCTTCAGATCAGTGCAGCACCAGCCATTGCGCTCACTTGGAGAGTGAACCATCAGATGGAAAAATCTTCCTCTCTGTCTTTCCTCCTCTCTGTATATCTGACTTTGCAATAAAAATAAAATAAATCTTTAAAGAAAAAAAAAGAGAGAAAGAGAGAGACAAGCAATTGGTAGAGAAGAACTCTTGTGGCTAGGTCATTTTTTTTTTCTTTTGTGAAAAACAAAAACATCAACTACTCATGGGTTAACTTCTGTCACTAAACTCTGCCCAAAATTTCAGATAGTCTACAACACACTTCTTTATCCCAAACTTAGCATTAGTAAGTACATAAATCAAAATGATTGCATTTTCAATTCAATGACTGATACCTAGGGAGCAATATTTCCACCCAGGATAATAACACAGCTATGCTAAAGTCTTTTTGTGCCACACAAATAAGTCTTACAGAGAGTAGTCAATAAAAGGACAGTTTATCTTCACCAAGGTTACAGAAATTGCAAGTGGGTCCAAAATAATAGTGGTAGGCTCTGAACATTCTCTTGATATACTTTTCAAGAACTACGTGTTTCATATTTTTACTCTGAAAGACAATCAAAACTGAAATTATGTATTAATATGCATTCTCCTTTTAGGGGTGTGTGTGTGTGTGTGTGTGTGTGTGTGTGTGTGTGTGTGTGTGTGTGTGTGTTTTAATTCATTTAACTTTAAAAATTTACTCTTGGGCTTGTGCACCAAGAGTAAATCTTGCACCAGCAGTGTCAGCATTCCATACGGGTGTCAGTTCATGTTACAGCTGCTCCATTGCTGATCCAGCTCCCTGCTTGCAGCCTGGGAAAGCAGTGGAGGATGACTAAGGTCCCTGGGCCCCTGCACCCGTGCAGAATTGTAAGAAGGGCTTGGCTCTCAGGTCTGCATTACTCTAGTTCTGGTTCTTGCGACCATCTGGAGTGTGAAGATGGAAGATATCTCTACTTCTTCCTCTCTACTTTACTCCTGACTTTCAAATAAAACAAATAACCCCTTAAAACTATAAAAACTAGATATGAACTGGAAGAGTAACACTTAATTCTAAATACTTAGTAATTCAATCCTCTAAGGAGAAATAAACAAAACAATGATTACAAATGCTAATGACTAAATCACTAAAACCAAACTGATAATCACAGATGTTTGAATTAATAGACTCCTCTCCTTCCTATAACTTATCATTTCCATCAAAAAAGCTAAACAATGGAAGGAATCCTCCCCAATTAGCTTTATAATGGATGGCATTTCCTTTTCTATGAAAGGGTAAAATTTCGAGAAATATTTCAGCATTTTTTCTAGAAAGTCATCAAATTCATGTGTACCACGAACAACTTCGATTTCTACTCTAAATATTTTTTTAAAAATAAATAAATAATGAGTTAGCTTTTCACCATAATAAAATAAAGTCATTTAATCGCACTGAAGAACTCTTTCAGAATTGTTGGGAGACACTTGCTTTCCTCACATCTGATAAAGCTTGAACCATTTGTACAATTGTGCCATCTCTGCAGAGATGTCTTTATGGCCAAAAAATCTTTCTAAAAGAAAAGCTTTACTATCTGAAGCTTCAAAAAGCTGCACATCTCCCAAAAACAAACTGACAGACATTCTACACTGTCAATTACTCTGAATTCTACTTTAAACAGTTCTCTGCTGATTTCTGAGAGCCACTGTTGAAAGTCAGAAGAAACTAAAAATGATCAAGATATCAGTAGTATCTGAAATGTGTGCTAAAGGGCTGAGATTGAACCTGTCAATTACTCTATGACATAATTAAATGAGGAAAATATTACTTAACAGACTATACGCTTCATTTCCCCACACACACACACACTTTTTGTTCCAAGTCACAACAGTTTCCACTGGACAAAGATTCAACAAGGTTTGTCTACATGGTCCCTTCTATATTTCAAGTCTGATTGCACATTACACAGCTAAATAGTAATTGCCAACAAATGGTAGATGACATGAACATAAAATATAAAATCTAATGCAACTTGGTAAAGTTTAACTAAGAGATCAGAAAAGGATCAAACTGCCAGGGCAAGCCAAATGACAAAAAGCTCAAACTCAGGTTCAACCTCACTGCTTAGGATCTTACAGTAGCCTCAAATGTCTGATCAATTACTCCAAATCAGTTATGTGTATATTAAATTACCAAATGTGCCTCGTTATACAGGAAAGAATTCAAGGGTCAGTTTTATCTCTACAAGATCAAACAGAAAACAGTAGGTCCTGAATCAAAGCTGTTCTCTTTGGCCCCAAGCATAGGCTTTCTTCTACCATGTCACGGTGGTGGAATATAAAATAACATGTATGAAAACAAATTTTAAAAACAAGTAACAAGGAAGTATACACACACACATAAACACATACAAAAGACACTCCTGCTATTGAAATATTAACATTCAAAGGGGCAAGTGTGCCAACAAATAAACTTTTACTACTTACGTCTACTCCAGATTTTTTGGAAGATATCTGTGTTACAGTGTCTTTGAATTTATTTGCCTTCTCAAGCTGGGCTTTAAGTTGTTCAGCTAGTTCCTTCAGAAAGATGAACAGGTAAAATAAGTAAGACATATTGCTTAATTCTCCATTGCATAAATATATCAAACAGAAGAGAAAAACAGCATGACAATCATCTATGCAATCACCACCTAAATTCAATAACCAACCCAAAGCTTAGTATATTACTTTTTAATATCCTGAGTTACAAATTTCTTAAATATCTGTGGCATTTGTTTATGCTTTGATGGTAAATAACTCAGACCACTACTGAATCAATGTGGGTTAAGTGCCACTTGGGTCACCATAAACTCCCATTCGGGCTGGTTCAATTCTTACCTGCTCTCCTTCTGATCCAGCTTCGTGCTAATGCGCCTGAGAAGGAGTGGACAATGACTCAAGCACTTGGGATCCCGCCACCAACGTGGGAGATCCAGACGGTGTTCCTGGCTCAGTTCTGTCTAGTGCAGCAATGTGCGGAATGAGCCAGCACATATATAACTCTCTCTACCCCCAAATTATCATTCTCCCTCTCTCTGTCACTAAGCCTTCCAACTATACAAATAAATCTTTGAAGACAGACAATTTCAACGACATGTGAGTATAACTGGGGAAAAAGAAAACACTGCATAACCTTAACAATGTAATTTTTAAAATTCCTTAGATAACATAAACTTCAATAATTAATGCCATCATTGTGTATCACTAAAAAGCTATCAAAAGATTTAAAATCTTACCTCCCTTACTGCTATCAAGTAATATGGATAAAAATTCTGAATATTCTTCATCTTACTCAAGAAAAATCTAAAGAAGTTATATAAAATAATTGATATATAAAGCGATACACCCAAAGTAATAAATTCAATAGATAATAAGCAAAGAGTACATGATCTGTGTGATGATTCCTTGAACAAAGAAATAGTTTTCTGAACATAAGTTAACCTTTTCACTTTGAACTACTGTGGTAGTTCAAAAATTCTATGGAAAATGTGATTAAAATATGTTTGTTATAGTACAATAAGAATTTGAAGTCCATTCATATGCTGGGCTGTCAGACAGTTTATGAAAAAATACATATTACGAAAAACTTAGACATGACTTTCATGTTAGTAACAAAATAAGTGCATCATTAATACTGTTTTTTCATTAATTCTGGGGAACCCTTGCACTATCAGCAGACCGCAAGATCACTAGCATTTCAATCTGAGTCACTTATGCACAAATGAATCTCCTGTGTCAAAACTATCACACCTTGTTAATCTACCTCACTCAATCTATCGTAAACTAATGAACAGATATGTGACAGTGTGACAAATAAATGAAAGTAGCTTTTACAAAAGCATTCACATGACTATTCAATGTTGAGGCAAAAGTACTTCAACATTATTATGGAAAATTAAATGAGCTAACTAAACAAATCATTTAACATATCTAACATAGCACCTGGAGCAAACATACCAGGTCTATATCTGCTTCTACTATGCTCAACAAGTCTGAAGAACAAGAATAAAGCAAACAGCAAAGAAACAAGTAAAAGTAGAAAACACACAGCTCCCTAGCACCTTAAACTTCAGAAATCTAATAGTAAAAGTAGATAACTTACTTAGAAAACAGACATTGTTTCTAGAAATAAGTGAAAATTTCTTTACAGAATAGTAAATGGTAGTTATTTTCAATATGTGCCATATCCATAGTACTTAGGAACTTCCTAAGCAGTTAAAGATTTAATGACTAGTCTGTACGAACATCTTACCATATTCCCCATCATCTCTGCCTTGATAATCTTGGCTCCCAGCTTGTTCCTCTCATCAACACTTAGAACGGGGATGGACTCATCCTCTGGACCACTGCAGGCAAAGGACAGATTAAGAGCCTAGGAAATTCATGCACAATGCAAGTAACAATGTCAATATCCAAATATTATTTATTTACCCTATTCAACACTAGTAGCAGATTATGGCTTAAATGCAAAAAATAAAATTTGACTTCAAACACAAATCATTATTTTAAGGATCTCTGTTAGAACAGTAGCCTATGACAGTTATAGTGATGGCTCACCAAAACCCCAAAGCAATGGAACAAATAATTCAAAAATCAACTATTCATTATTTAATATTCACATATTCAATCTAAAAAAAAAACAAACTAGACTCAAGCCAGAATTCTACATATCCATAGGAACTTCTCATTCAGACATAACAAGTTATTGAGTGTCTAACAAACATAATCAAAAATACATAAATTAATTAATTCAAACATGAAAACAATGGTCATATGTCCTTTTATAAATTACGTTTATAATCAGACAAACTAAAGTAAGTCAAAATTAAGACTATGTGCCAAACCCATACTGCAGAAGCATCACCTAAGGAAAAAAAGAAATCTTCAGATCAGGTCAGATTCCCCAACCTCACTGTGCTAGAAAAATTCAAAGCTATAGCCCTAAGAAGGTGAAACCAGGCAAAGCCTGAACGACTCTGAAGCAGTCACAGCTAAGACTCCATTAATTCCAAGGCAGCTACAGTTTACAGAACAAGAGGAAGCAATACAGTGAGAAAATCCAAAAAAACCTTAGAGGAATTCACATAGCAAACCTCATGCTTCAGAAAATACTAGAACTATAAAAGGTCTTGCTACATCAGAAGGCAACAATAAGCTCTAGGTTCGGCTCTGGGTCTACTAAAAAATGTTAACAAGAGTCAAAGTAATAAGAACATTGAGATAAAAGTTAACTGTTCTGCCAAAAGAAAAAGGGGTAGAAGCTAGAGTAAGAGCTAGAAGAAGCACAGGCAAAAAATTTCCACATTTATAGAAAACTTACAACAACTTTCATGAAATCTGACGTACCAAAAAAAAGAGAGGGAGAGAAAAAGGCCATGATACCACAAAGCACATCATGAAACTGGTGATAAAAGCACATTTTCACAGCATACAGACTAAAGCAAATTATTTAGACATAAAAATCACCATGATAGTAGAGTGCTCATCAGAAACAACACAAGAAGATAAGCAACATCTTTGAACTATCATCAACCTAGACTTCTATACCCTGTAAACAAAAGTGAACTGAAGACATTCAAACATAAAAAGTTGACAGAACATCACAGAAAAGCCCTCAGGAAGAAAAAGAATATCAGATTGAAACACGAATCAACCCAAACAAGGAATAAGACCAGAAGAGGTGACTATAATGGCAATTATAACACCCTTTTCCTTATTACTTAAATCTCTTTCAGATAACTATTTTTAATAACAAAAATACATTTGGGGCTTAGAACAGGTCGAAGTAAAACGCAATCTAATATTAACAGAAGGGGAGAAGTGTAAATCAACTGTGGGTAAGTTATTACACCACACAGCAGTAGGGTATCATTTAAAGGCTGTCTCTAATGAGTTACATTAAGTATGTTATCCAAGCTAACAACCAGCTTAAGCATTTTCTAAGCAGTGTAAATTGCAGCAGCAGGCATTGGGCTTAAGGAGTCAAGCACTCCATTTCAGAGCACTTTAGCTTGACTCCCCTGTTCTAGTTCCAGCTCCCAATTTCAGCTTCCTGTTAATGTAAACCTGAGCAGCAACAAGATAGTTTATGTTGCTGGGTTCCTGACACTTCCATGGGAGACCTGGATTGAGTTGTGAGCATTTGGGGAATGAATGCTCCCTGGCTCACTCATTCACTCATTCTTTCTCTCCCTCTCCATTCTTCCCTTTTAAATAAATAAAAATTCTTAAAATAATTACAGCAATGAAGGAAAAGGAAATCACACTCAAGAAACCTTCAAATTCAAAAAAAGCATGAAAAAGATGAAAAGCAGAACAAGACATATAGAAAACAAAAGCCCAAAACGCAAATCATGACTATAACATATAAATGACCCTTCAATTTCAATTTCAACAGTGTTCCTTCAATGCTTGATTGAATAAGCAAACAGACAACAGGAAAGAATATTAAACATTAAATTGAATAAATTTACTAATTTAATAAATTAAATTGGATAATATTACTAACTAATGTGACCTAATGGACATTCACAAAGCACTGCACTCAACTTCAGTGGAAAACACATTCTTTCAAAGTGCATACAAAACAGTTACCATGACAGACCAGTCTGAGCCACACAATCAATCTCAATAAAGCTGTAAGAATCAGATCAAACAAACCATGTTCTCTAACCACAATCAGATTATTAGAAATCATTCCCAAGATCACTGGAAAATTCTCAACCACCTGAAAACTAAACAGCTTGTATGTAAGCAACCCTTAGTCAAAGAAAACAAGGGCAAATTACAAACTGAACACATTGTATATATAACATACAACATATCAGAACTTGTGGTTTGCTGCTAAAGCACTGAAACATGTAGCTCTAAATATTTTTATGGAAATACAGAAAAGTGCCTCACAAATTAATTAGCCCAGTTTGCAACTTCACAAAACAGAAGAACAAATTAAACTCAGAGACTACAATAATGATAGTCAAAAATAGATTAAAAAAAAAAAAGAAAGGCAATAAACTCAATGACTCCTTCTGCCATTAAAGGGATATTTAAGTTGAATAAAAAACAAATATTAATTTGAAAAAATCCTATAGGAACATTTCCTTCTTGTTGAAAGGAAAGACAATACTCTGGTGCTTACAGTAAGACATTTGAGGCAAAGCCCCTTTGGAAAGCAACACTCTCCTTCTCCTTCTTAAATCAAATGTAGGGGCACTACAATTGTAAGAGCTGGAAACATTATTACTTTTTATATGCTTCTATGAGCTCAGTTATTGTTAGTGTCACTGGCTGTATTTTTTGTATGGAAAATATTTTTCAGAACTCAGTACAGTGTTGTAACAAGCTAATACTTCACCTACCACCAACAGGATCCCATGTGGGCACCAGTTCATGTCTCAGTGGTTCTATTTCCTTTCCGGCTCCTTGCTTATGGCCTAGGAAAGCAGTTGAAGATGCATCAAGTCCTTGGAACCTTGCACTCATGTGGGAGACCCAGAGGAACTGCTGGCTGCTGGCTTCGGACTATTATAGCCATTTACAGGGTGAATCAGCAGATGGAAAATCGTTCTCTGTTTCTCCTCTGTAAATCTGCCTTTCCTATAAAAATCTTTAATGAAAGAAATCCAGAGCCAGGAGCCAGGAGCTTCCTCCAGGTCTCCCACACAGGTACATGGTCCTAAGGACCTTAGCCATCTCCCACTTGCTCTCCCAGGCTGTAAGCAGGGAGCTGGAGCAGAAATGGAGCAGGGAGTGGAACATGAACTGGTGCCCATTTGGGATGCTGGTGCTTGAAGGGGGAAGATTAGCCTGTAGAGCCACGGCACTGGCCAATCCTATAATTTTTCTACAAAAACTTTTTACCAATTAATCAACAATTGTTTCCAATTTTTTTAATTCTTTTTCACCCAACTACTTTTTCAAATCCCCTACTTTGAAAATTTACTCTTCTTAGCCACTAGGTGAAAGTTATAAATATTAGAAAAATTTTGACATGCATATATAACATATGTTAAAAATAATCATATACCGTGCACTTTCCAAAAAAATATTCAGTACAATTATTGCCCCACGAAGTTTGTCCCTCAAACTCCCCTGTTCCCCAACTGAAAGGCTTCTCTGTGACTTCTTATACTTTTCTTTGCTTCCCATACTTAAGCACCTATCTGTGGTTTTCTTCTCCAACAAAATTATAACTAGGTCATCCATTTTTCATATCGACATCAGCTAGCTGCAAAAATTAAAAAACTAACAAAAAATAAAATGGATAAAGGAGTGTTTTCTTCAATAATCCTTCAAATCTTTCCCTGTTATTCCAATAGAGGCTTACTGTAATCCAGACGTTGTTACAATTAGACATAAGCAGGGAGTTCAGTCAATCAAAGAGCAAACCACTTTGCAAGCAGGCTTTAGTTTTGATGGGATCGTAAAAAAGAAAGAAAAGCCATCCACCAATTTATCTCCCTCTGTGAGGAGAAAGTTTTCAGGAATTTTAAAACAAACCACCATAGCGTAACGGAGTCAATAACATCTCAGAACTATCAAAACCACTCAAGTAACACCCTCAGAATATTCTTCCCCACATCAGGGTCTCTAAGACGTCATCAAATGTCCATACCCCATTCCCCAGTGCTAACGCAGTATGACAGCAAAGAGCCACTCTCTCCCCTCCCCCTCTGCAGACACAAAAGAAAAAATAAGAACAGAAGCATTTATCACACCCACCTTCCTCCATACCTGGACCCTCTCGCCCTAATCAGACATACATGGGTGTGCATCATTCTCACTTATGAACACAATATTAAAAATAAAATTTAAAATGTAAGATACTATCAAACCAAGTGCCAATAAGGCAACAGACTCACGTCTACTAATACATCTGAGTAAAAATGCAAATGCTCTCAAGCAAAAACCTAATCTGAGCTTTTCTAAGCAAGCTATTCAAAAGTACAGAAAGAGTAAAAAAAAAAATGCTAACTGTTCATTTCCTCTTTGCAAAATACTGGAAATCCTTCCTATTAACGCAAGAAAAGGAGTTTTACAGCCAGAGAAATATGAATTCAAATCCAAATTTTACTACTTACCAACTTCATAATATTGGAAAACTATTTTAACTCCTCTTAAGTTACAAACCAATGCAGAAATTATAAAGTTACAGCATTTGCTGTAATATAATGGAATTTCAAACACAGCACCTCTCCTGATGTTCAGTAATTAATTATTTTTGTCACTGAAAGACAATTAACAAGTCACAGGAGAACCCACGGAGGAGTCCTACACTTTTCTCGCTAAAATTCCAATGGTGATATCTCTTCCAAAAAGGTTTTAAAAGTAGAACATCAGAGCTATGCTCAAATAAGAAACCAAATGCTTTTAGGGAACCACAGAATTAAAAGTGTAGTTCTGGGTCATGAGTGTCTACTCAAGCTCCTCCTCTCTTTCTCCACAGTTACTCCTTTCACAGCCGATTTCTCTCTCAACTATAGCTTCCAAATGAGTATATCTGCCTCAAGTCGGCTCCATTTCATAATCTTGTGGAATCTTTGCAATTTTATCTAATTAAAATGTTTGAGGTAATTCTTTCACTTATAGTATTATACAACTAAAAGCTGTGACTTCTGGAGTCATTTATAAAAGGTACAAGCAGTACCTGCAATTCCCTGCCAGTTAATCATACTTTACAGATTATCAAGAGGTTAGTACACGCATACATCTAGGATTTAGACATACAAAGAGTAGAAACAGACATACCATGTTCTCAGGGCACACTTACATTACACATTCTAAAATACCACTTGCAAAAGTTCAACTAAACCATGCAGTCTGTTGTTCCAGTTTTTTCCCTCCAATTTGACTGACCTTTCCCACTTAATACCTAATAGACTCATCCTTCAAGATGTTACAACTGGGATCAGCATTGTGGCATAACAAGTTAAAGCCACTGTCTGCAACACCAGCATCCCATATGGACGCGAGTTCATATCCCGGCTGCTCCACTTCCAATCCAGCTCCATGCTGAAGTCCTTAAAAAAGCAGTGAAAGATGGTCCAAGTTCTGGGGCACCTGCAATCCATACGGGTGACCTGGATGAAGTTACTGGCTCCGGGCTTCCAAAAGGCCATGTAGGAAGTGAACCAGCAGATGGAAGATCTTTAACTCTTTCTGCCTCTGTAACTCTGATTTTCAAATACATTAATTAATCTTCACTTAAAAAAAAAGAAGTTACAAAATTCCCTACACAACTTCCCTGGACTTAAGAGGGTATACCATCCCATCCTGTCTGAAAATATCATAACAAATAATATTATGCATACATCTACAACTCTAAATATGAGGCATTTATGCAACCATATTTGTTACATAAATATGTATTTCTATAACGGTCTCTCTGATATTGAGTTAGGGTGACAGGAAGATTCCTAAGAGTCTTTGTATAAATTTAAATTTTACAGAAACTTATACCATTTAAAACGTCAAGGCCAGTGTTGTGGAATAGCAAGTTAAGCTGCTACCTGCAGCACTAGATGCCCAGATGGGCACATTTCAAGTCCTGGTTACTCCACTTCCAATCGAGGTCCCTGCTAACACGCCTGGGAAAGCAGCGTAGGATAGCCCATGTGCCTGGTTTACAACAAACTCCTTCCTGTTCTCACCAAAAATGTCTTCTTTTTGCAATTTATCTTTTTTCCTCTCCTTATGTCTCTGCCTGGTCTACTTTTCTCATATTCCAATAAAATAAACCTCATAGAGGTTAACAACTTTTCCATAATTAGTATATACAAGCGACCTTTTTTTGTTCAAAGTCAGTTCGTGGTTTTGCTTTTAACCTTATTTGAATAGCATGTTAAATGAGCATCAGAAGACAGGAAATCTAAATCTAAGCTTTGAAAGTAACTACCTAACAACACTGATACAAGAGCTAAGATTTTTAGATCACATACTATATTAACTTGTTCATACACATATCTGTATATATTTGTGTGTGTATATACATGTATGTATGTGTGTGTGTGGATAGACAGACAGACAGATATAAACTTGCGCAACACCCTATTAAATGGATGGCATTTATACCCTTGTTTTAAGATCTGGAACCCAAAGCATGCCAAGGTCGGGTGTCAACTTCTTATTAAAGATCACAAGTCCAGAAATGATTACTGCTACCACAAGGTTGAAAAATAAGATTAAAAAAGGGAAAAAAAAAGATAAGATACAAGACCTTATTTGAATCTGGGATAAACTAAAAAGACATCTTATCATAAGCATGTCCAAATATTACAAGGGGCTCATTATTTTTTATTTAGTAAATCTGGCAATCCTTACTACATAACACTGTGTGAGTCATTCCTTATTTCTCTGTGCTTCTGCAACCACAAAAGGCAACAGTGAAACTGATTTCCTTTACTTCTAAAATCAGTCCTGTGATTTTTTTTCTAGTTATAAAATTCACTGATTCTAAAACTCTCTATAAATGAAGTATTTTCAAAAAAATCATCATAAATAAGACTAGATTTGATCTGTAATACTGCAATAAGGTAGAGCAATCCACCACGGGGGGAGGGCAAGAGGAGGGGAAGGGGGAACATCAGAGCCTATGAAACGTTGTTATAAAATTAAGTGCAATAAAAAATAGTAAAATGATAAAATAAAAATAAAAAATCATCAGTCTTACAATAATGTTCAGATAATTTAACAACTAATAACGATACTCTACTAAATCTCAATGGGCATTTTTTTTTTTTTAAGCAGAGTGACAACGATTTCCCATCCACTGTTTCACTGCCGAAAGGCCGCAACAGCCAGGATTTGGCCAGGCTGAAGCCAGGGGCCAGGAATACATCTAAGCTACACATGGGGGCAGGAGTCGAAGCACTTGAGCCATTAACTGCTGCCTTCTATGGCACATTAGCAGGATGGCAAGGTAAATACACAGTGCTACAGTATCAACCCCTTGTTGGAGTATCTGTTCACATCACTCTATAAGCTCAGGAACTTTTTTCTTTCGTAAGTATGTGAACAATTCCTAGATTTTCTTTCCCTGTCTTCTTAAGTCATGAATTCATAAAGCCTGAAACTCTAACACAGAAATTAATAAGGCTAACATAGAATACTCTCTAGTACAAAATGAAAAAGAGCCTTAAGTGAGACTCTAAGGTGTATCTATCAGAAGCTTACAAGTTAAATAAGACAAATATAGCAAAGAGTCAGATGGAACTCTAATAGTGTTTAAGACTATTTTACATAGCTTAGCTGCAGTCATAGAAGCCAAAACCTAGAGACTACCCTAATTCTAAAGCAAACCTACTGATACCATGAAGTTAAGAGTCTTATCCCAACAGCAACTGGAGTCTACCACTCACAGTACACATAGTAAAACCTGAACAAATGTATGCACTCAGCCATGGACATTCTCTTACAATGTTCAGCTGCATCTCTCCTCAACTCCCAGACTTAAACTAGCCTTGACTTAAACCACTGGCCATTCAACTGAATTCCATCAATCAGTCGGACGCTGTGTCTCCTACTCAAAGTTACATACTGTGCTTCACATGGAGTCCTTAACAAAACAATCTGCTGAATTCATGATCCCAAACCACATTACATACATGATTGCCACAAGTTTGTTATTTCCTAGACTCTCATTCTTTAGCATCTCGTTCATATGATAATACTTTTGATATACTATAATGTTCATTAGGCTCTGTCATTATTCTTTGGACATGTATTCATTATTCTTATCTCCAACAAGGCTAGTCCCATGGCTGAACCGAGATTTCTTGGTTTTCATTGTCATCAGTCTGGGTTTCCCCATCTTCTCACAAAGCACTATGTAAAATGCAGCAGGGAGTCGAATAATAAAACCAGAGAAGGCAACCTCTTTGCCTTATCATTATACATACAATCGTTATTCCACACACATTTTACTTTTAAAACCCGACATTATCTCTAAAACCCTAACATTTATCTCTAAAATGTATCAATTGTACAGAGTGATTATTTCTTCCAATTAAACAAATCAACACAGCTCGGTCTTTCCTTTAGACTTCTGGGAAATACTCCTCCCTTCATATTTGGTCTACAGCAGGTTATCTCCCTTTACTTTCTCAGACCTCCTATAGAATACAGTATTTACAAACATAATTAAACTTAACAGTGACCTAATTTTCTTAGGAAATAATATTGCACTGGCAACAAAATCTACCAAAATATTTTGTGCGGCATCTACTTAAAAGATTAGCTCATTCTACCTTTTAAGCTACAAAAAAAACCAACAAATTTTGAGCAAATATGGCCATCAGATTTTTTTCAGTTCTTGGCAAAATAAAAGTGTGCAATGAACTAAAATCCATCAAATACTATAAAATACTATACTGTAAAGTCTATGTATCTTATCTCTTCCACTGACGTTTTAAGAAATTGCAGACTAATAGCTAATAGACTACTGGGAGTTCTAACATACAGGTCAGTTTTTTCAATCCTCAGAGTCTTAGCATTCATGTATCAGTTTTAAAAGTAAATGATAAAATACCCAGCCAATGCTGACTTTGTGTTCCGTGGAGATTCTTTTTTCCGGAGGTTATCTTGCAAGCTTTCCGGCTGTGATTTCTCATTCACATCCTCTGAAATGTGTCGACAGTCACTGCTGCTGCTTTCTGATGGCTTCTGCTGCGAACGTTTCTTACAGTCTTTGCTCCTGTCAGACCCACTCCGTGATGCTAACTTTTCCTCACTGTTTTCTACGGGTTTTCGAAAACCACAATGCAAAGAACCCTCTGCTGCCTCTGATGTCGATAAACGAGACGGTTCAAAGTTTTTGCTTTTACTGTGAAATGATAGTTCTTCATCATCACAGGGCTTTAAGAATTTAGGTCTCAAATTTCCAGGAGAAGAAAACTCTTGATTTTGCCTTGGGGTACGTTCTCTTCTACAAGTTTCCAAAGACCCAGATCTCTTATTTTTTTCATCATCCAAAAGTTTCTGTTTATTGCTACTGCTTTCAATATCTGCTGTACTGTAACTATCCCTGGAACTTCTGTTACAGTTTATTAAGTCTGATTTTCTACTTTCTTGACTATTCTGTGCTTTATCTGAAAAAGCTGGTTTCCTCCACCGTTCTCTTCTATAGTCTTCTTTTCTGGATGCAATTTTTTCTGCTTCTTCTAATTTCGACTGAAATATTTCCATTGACTACAAAGGGAAAAAAAAATTAAACAATGTTTCTAACATTAAGCAAAACTTGTCCCCACATGCCATAATCACTGTCAAATGACACAAGAAAAGAAAACTCCCTAAAGGAGAAGGGGAAAGATCTAGACAATCAAGTAACACTAAAATAAAACTTCCTTTTTCACAGGTGGAGCAACAGCATCCCTGCTGCCTTGTGGAGTCTGTATTAGCAGAAAAGTGCAATCAGGAACCAGAGTCAGGTATTGAACTCAGTTACACTGCTGGGAGATGCAGGAACCCTAACCTGTAGGCCTAAAATGAAACACTTTGAAAGCAGAAGTCCCATAAACCAAGAGGCCGGCAATAATCCAAAATACAATACAGAGAACCAAGACACAAATCTAAAAACAGTATCACTGAGGAGCAGGTATGTGATGCAGCAGTTGAAATAGCACTTGGGATGCCTACATCCTATAGAAATGTCCCAGCATCATGTCTGATTCCAACTTTAACAGATGAAAGACCTTCCTCTCTGTCTCTCCCTCCTCTCTGTGTATTTGGCTTGGCAATAAAAATATATAAATCTTAGAAAAAAAAAGATATTAGCATTAGTGTTACTCCCTTAGGATTTTCAGAAAGCAGCAAAGCTAGAAAGGCTCATTTATTTGAGTAAGCAAAGAGCTATGGTTTATACAAACGACCCTAATTTTTGACTCTTACAACTTAAGAAAAAAATACTTCACAAACAATACATGATGGAAAAGTAAACCTAACCATCAGCATGCATACAAAGGAGGGCACACAGGTAATATACTAACTGCAAAGGGGAAAAAAATAAAACTGCAGCCAAGCATTTCTCTGTAATTCTAAAATGGGAAAGGAAGTAAAGATAAAACTTTGAAAATATTAAGTTATAACTCTATCTAAATAATCTAATTCACAGTCAAACTATCCTTCCTTGGTATGCACAAAAGCGAACTATCTTCAGAGCCCAGTGCAACTGGCTAATCCTCCACCTTCAAGAGCAGCATCCCATTATGAGTGCTAGTTCATGACTTGGCTGTTCACTTCCCATAAAACTTCCTGCTTGTGGCCTGGGAAAGCAGTGGCAGATGGCTGTATACCTTGGACCCTGCACCTGCAGCTGCATGAATTCCTGAAAGAAGCTCCCTTCTGGCTCCTGGCTTCAAATCAGTTCAGCTCTGGCCACCTTGGCCTTTTGGTGAACGAACAAGCAGATGGAAGAAATTTCTGTCTCTCCTCTCGGTAAATCTACCTTTCCAATAAAAAAAGAAAGAAAGAAATATAAAAAAAAAAAACTATAAAAGTGCAAGGAATCAAAAGGTATACCTCTTACTACTTCTAAAAATGAGTATTCAACAGTCAGGCATCTACAATAGTTAAACATACCCACATGCCAAATCAGAGAGCCTGAATCTGATTCCCAGCAGAAGCACCTGACTCTACATTTCTGTGAATGCTGATTCTGGAAAACAGCAGTGATGCCTGATGTAACAGCTCCTTGTCACCATATGAAAGACCTGGATTGAGCCTCCAGCTCCCGGCTTTAGATCCAGCCATTGTGGGCATTTGGGGAATGAACAAATGTGCTGGGGTGCTCACTCTGCTTCAGTAATGCTCTCTCTCTTTCCCTCTCCCTCTCTAGTACTAGAATTTACGAAGAGAACAGATGTACTTTTACTGGACACATATACAAAAAAGGAACTGTGCAATGAAAGATATACTAACTTTCATGATTATATTAATGATGGCATGTACTTACCTCAAATATATACAATATCAAAAGTTTAAAAAAATTTTAAATAGCAACTTTCCCTAAACTCTGACTGCAAAGCTGCTTTATCAAACAACATTCATCTTAAATGCAGAAAATCATCATCTAAACACAGAAAGTCGAGAATATAATTTTCCAGCATTTTTACCAAAGTTATAGTTTTATTTCAAGAAGAAAATAAATTTTAAGTATTTTAACATTAAGTGGATAAAAGCAAGAATTATCATTTGCTTGTAAACATACTTTCAAATACTCCTTGTCAAAGTACAAAAAATAGACGGACTGGCACCAAAAGCAAGTCAAGACACACGAGAGAAAAGATTCAATTTATAATTTAAAACATTTTTGAAGAATATTAATAGACCCTGTGGAGCAGCAGTGATGGTTCAAGTGGTTGGGTTACTGTCACTTAGATTTAGTTCCTGACTTCGGGTTCCAGCTCTGGAACACTGAACCAATGGATAGAATCAGTCTGTCTATCTTTCTCTCTTCCCACGCCCCCACTCTGTCTCCCTCCATTCTTTCCCCTCCCTATCAATAACAAACAAACAAACAAACAAAAACTTAATTTTAATGTAACAGTAAGCATCTGGCCTAACAATTAACATGCTCTCAGTTCATTATCAGAATGCCCAGGTTCAATACCCAACAATGCTGCTGATCACAGCTTCCTGCCAATGCAAACACTAGGAGACAATGATGGTGGCCCAAGTAGTTGGGTTCCTGTCCCTTACATGGGACACCCGACACAGAACACTAAATTCAAGATTCAGTCCTAGCCAGGGACAACTGTAGTCATTTGAAGAATGAACCAAAAGATGGGAGCTCTTGCTGTCAAAATAAAAGAGAGCAAGAGAGAGATCTGTATCTTTTAAAATAGCAATTTAATTCTCAGCAACTTGTCTCAAGAAAATAACCAAGTAAATATACAAATTGTACTAGACAATGACAGCACAGTGCTACTAGATGGGGGTTTAAGAGGGAAGTTACGTCACCGTCCACCCATGGAAAGTTAAATACAAGAAAAATAAAACATGAGAAACTTTAAAAACAGCTCTATAGTAAACCTATTTATTGACACCCTACTATGTCTATAAGAGTAAGTTACAGAAATGGCATATTCCATGAACTTACGTTAAAAATTTAAGAAAATGCAAAAACACATGCTAGCATGTTATCAAAGATTCTCAAGAATAAGGATGATCCTCCCTCCCACTGCCCTTTTTGACCCGCCTATAATTTTAAAATCTTACCATTTTCTGAGAACAATTTTCCCTTTGAAATTAAAATGAGAAAATATACAATAACTATTGAAATAAAAATATTACTCACACATGGAAATGGATTTTAAAATACCACATACTGCTACATATTTCCATTGTTGTAAGAATATATATGCACACAAAACAATAATAACAGCAAGGGAAATGTCAAAACTTAAGAATCTATCAATTTCTTTAAAATACCAAAATTTTAACAGTAGTGTATTATTGAGGCAAACTTATATTGTTTAAACTTTCTCATAACAGAATGCATATTTTCACATTAAATACACACACACAAATTTAAGTTATATATATGTATATTCATTATATCAGTAAAAATACACTATATACATTTACATAATAATGAAAAGTAGAAAGTTTCAGTAACTTATCATCTGAAATTAAATATCACATCAATTAAAGTGTCTGAGTACAAAAATTTAAGTAAGAGGCACTTAATTGTACATGCAACTCTTAAAAAATGGTATAATACCTGCTTAATACAGATACTCACCCCATATCTTTCAGCTACAATGTCCTCCAGATTTTTATTTTGTTTCTCAGCTTGTTCTTTCATTCTCTGATAAGACTTCTTTAGCCAGCTTAATCCACCATCTTCTACTCCTGAAACTAAATTCCAGTGATAAATACCAATTAAATTTAATGTGGCTGTCATAGAATCTTCATTTTGTGATGACTTCTAAAAATGTATAATTAAATATTTCCCCAAAATAAAGTCATAAAAACATTTAAAATACAACATACATATGAGTGTCTATAAAGGTAAGGCACAGAGCTCTGCCCAATGAAGTAAATCTGTTGAAAAAATTTTGGTCTAAGAGAGTAAGGATAATTTAGTATAAATAATTACAATAAAAACACTGTGAGAAGTACTAAGTGCTAAACAGATCTGAAACATGAGAAAAAACGAGAAAAGAGCAACTTCTAACTAGAACTTTAGGGAAATTTTCACATATCAAGTTCAAGAAAATTAGCCGGATTACTACTTATGAAACAAAGATTAAGAGTAGGAAGGACATTCCAACAATGAATATGGAATAGATACATGGACGGAGAAGGAAAAGGCACCTCGAGGCAGTACATAAAACACAGAACAAAGTTTGCCGGAGTCCAGCTCCAGCTGAGTTCGGAGCTCGAGAAGGGTGCGTGAAGTAGGCGTAGAAAGAAGAGACGGACCACTACAATTCCAACATCATTGTGGACCACGCGAGAAAGCTGTCCGCTTTATTTATACAGAAGCAGTACACAGTCTTTTTTAGGGCATTTTGACATAGCTTCAAGGGGGGCACAATTTACAACAGCTTGAGAGGCGAGTGAGGGAGAACCCCACATTCTTTGCTTATCTCGGCTTGCCAGCCCCTACTTACTTCCCTCAAGTCTGGGTCCCATCCTTGGCGCTGTCTGTGACAACCAGACCCCTACCTTGAATTATGCATGGGAAAAGGGCTGAGAACTTGGTTTATGGGGATTAGGGTATTGGCACCAAAGGTCATTAGGTCTGCAGGCCCACACAGTTTGCTAACTAAGCAAGAGTTACAACGACGGAAGGAACTGCAATTAGCAATGAGCCATGTTTACTCCATTTAGGTTTCTGCTCTACAATGGGCAAGTAAATGTTTCCAAAGACAACTCTACAGATAGTTTCACCTTAAGACAGGACATTATCCATTCTGATGTTGCAGCCAACATTTTCTCAGTAGACAACACATCTTATTCAGTAATACATTCCTACTACAATTCTTATTCTATAACTTATCCATCACTTAATGAGAGAAATACATTAAAAGAAAAAATATAAAAATCTAAGACAAAAGTTTCAAACATTAAATCCCTCTACAATTGTAGGCTCTACAACCTCATAAATGATCAAACAATAATCAAAAGTATACATGATGTTAGTAAAGTCACCCTATATTTCCTCTAGTTAAAAATTATGAACGCAGCCAAAGCAACTACATTTACTATGTTCTAAAGAGTTGAGAGTTGTAAGGACAGGCTAACCTTTAAGGTCACAGTAGCTATATTTTGCCATAGCAGGATAGCCTTTAGGATCACAGTAACTATACTTTTGCCATAGCAGGATGGCCTTTTGGGGTCACAGTAATTATAACAGGATAACCTTTAGGGTCCCAGTAACAGGATAGCTATATTTTTTGTCATAGCAATTTCAACCTATACTCCCATCACTTCCATTAGTTTGTGAAACTCTTATCAGGCCATTTCCCAGAAAGTATGCTAAATATTTGGGCCAGATCTCAGAGCAATGGGTAGGCACACAATAAGGTGTCTGGAAACAGCATGGGCTTAATTGTACTCCTGTGCGCAGTTAAAGGCCCACTCACCAAGACATTATCAGTAACATTAACTTTTAAGCTCATGTTGGTTGTAAAAGCCATCTCACAGGGGCAAACTATGCCTAATAGATTGCAGAATTCTTAGTGGGGTGGTTGAGTGTCCATGCAAACAGGGGGTGAGACTGCATCAAGGTGGTCAGAGAGAAATCCGCCGGGCCCTGCCAAACAGCTGTAAGCTCCCCCAGGCCCTGCCAAGCAGGGGAGCTGTTCTCTTCACACCTTCGTGTCATTAACACCTACTGCACGGACACCAGGAAAAGTTGTAGAAAATAATGCCAAATTGTACGTTAAAACAATATTACACTACTTTAATTGTTATCACTATAAACTTTTCAAATGCCTTCAACTTCAGTAAGCTGCTTGTATTTCTTTATATATACACCTACGTATGAAACAGAAATATAATCAATAGCTTAAATCAAACTTCTGATCCTGATAATCCTTGTCCCAAAATAAGTCTACTTTACGATCACTGAAATTCTAAAACTAACAAAATGCACACACAGTCTCCAAGAGACACATAGAACAGTGTTCATAAAAGAATAATCACGAAGTAATTCCAGCCTGGAAATAAGCCAAGGATAGACAGAAGATGATTCATCCCTAAAATATACCATAGCAAGGACAATGAGTGAACAACATCGATATACAATATATGGATGAATACCAGAATGTGTAACAGCCAGAAACAAGGATTTAACAAAACAGAATAGAACTACATAGCATAACATAACACTAGAAAAGAAACTCAATCGGATGAATTAAAATCATCAAAAAAAAATACATAACCAAGCATTTTTTTTAGTCACATAGTAAGAAATGCATTATACTAAAGGAATTCAGAGTAACTAATCTTAGACAGTCTTCTGGCAGTAGGAGTAGTTCAAGTCTGGATCATTAAAATTAGCCTTACACTGCGCTAGGTCACTGAGTTAACCTGCAGTTCCTACACTTTGAGATTCCACAAAATAAGATTTTAAAAAGAAGCTTATATGACTACAGTTACTATTAAATAATCTGGAAGAGTTCTCTCTGTCTTACCCTAAAAGGCGAAAAAGAATTTACAATTATCAGCAACTTTGGTAAAACTTTAAAAAGTGGCTCTGGGGACACCTTTTCATAAAGCACAGAAGAAATTTAACAGACAGCAAAAATTTAAATGAACTATGTATGAAAAGCAGAAATGTGTTCTACTAAGAGACAATTAGGATAAAAACAAAATGTAACTTATAATATTGCTATCTGAATTATAACTAAACTTTCCACCACATTGTCAAAGCAATACCTAATGAGCAAATACACACTCTCAAAAACATAAAATATGTTTATATGACATATAAAGTAGGATGTAGCTGCAGACACAAAATCACGTTTTTCATGTTCACACGTGACTTTAGTGAAATTTCATAGAATTAATACTTTTTGCATATTACAAAATGTAACTGAATCAATGCTTTATCATATACCCCCAAGATTATACATGGTGTTATCCATTTAAAAAACAAAAGTCAGGAACTGACATTGTGGCACAGCAAGTAAAAACACTGCCTGTGACGCCAGCATCCTACTTGGTTCACATACTGGTTGTCCACTTCTAATTCAGCTCCCTGCCACTGCATGGGAAAAGACGGTCCTAAATCTTGGGCCTCCAACACCCATGTAGGAGACCCAGAAGACGCTCCTAGCCACTGCCTTCAGTCTGGCTTGATACCAGCCACTGTGGCCATCTGAGGAGTGAACCATCAGATGAAGACTCTGTCTCTCCGTGTCTCTACGTTGCCTTAACTTTTTCAAATAAATTAGTAAATTTTTAAAAATAAATAAATAAAAGAGAAGCTAGTACATGGAAACACTGTCAACTATAAAAGCATGTGTTTAGTAATATTTAAATTAGAATAATTTAAATATTAATGATTTAAATAAGACTTCAGAAGACTGAAAAATGCATTGTTTTTATGAATGAAATCTAAATGCTTTTTCATGTGTAAACTCAGGTCATTTTCTCAGGAATATCAGGGTACAAGAAACGCCTGTGTCTGCAATCAAATTTAAGGGATACCTTTAGTAACGGATGACACACCACAGTCTTCCGGGGGAAGACCTGTTCCACCGTCCTTCCAGTACGGATTCAGTTCTCTTTCCAAGAGTTTGGACTAGAATAAAACATTTTCAGAAATCATAATTTTAAAATAAACAAAATACAAAAAAATTTATAAAAAATAAATCTAAGACCCAGCTGATAATTACAACCCTAGTCAAATCAATTAAAACACCAGATACATGCTGCTCTTGCAGGAAATATCTAAATTCACTTTCACTCAGTATTTTTACTGAACACCTACCTACCATGTCTCAGAACTGTGATGTATGTAGGTTTAACCAGCAGTTATCCTGAATCAACCCTTGCTAACACAAGAAAAATAATTTTAAAAAATAATCATACATGCTTTGAAGACCAAAATTCAGAGTGACAGCAGTACAAAGAACTCTCTCACACTGAAAGATCAATGACTACCTAGTAGATCCAATATGTGTAACCCTAGGCCCAATGAGAACTTGGCAAAATTTTATTTTTGGCTTGAAAGTACACAGAAAAGGTCTAAAAGGATGCTTCAGGTAGAATGAATAACAGTGTGCTCACAAAGCCTCAAAGAAAGAGAACGCAAAGCACTTTCAGGGAACCAAAGGCAATCCGCAGGGACTAACACTTGCAAGTTAAGTAGAGACAAAAGATTAGGTTAGTAAAACAAAGACCCAATAAGCCCTTCTGAACTGCTGCCGAGCAGAAGCTGTCAGTAGAAGCATGGTCTCAGAGTGGACAAATGACTGGAGAGCAGCAAGGTGAGAGGCACAAAGCTAGTTGGAACAGTAATCCAGGTAACAGTAAAATGCAAGTTCCTCCTGTGTTCCAAGCACTATGCCATTGGCACCTACTTGATAATTAACGCAGGCACAATTCTTGCCATCATAGAATTATGGTCTAGCAAACAGGGAAAGACAATCAGGCAACATCAGGATAGCTTACTCTAAGTATACAAAAGTAAAAGAGTCTGCAGACCCACATACATATTACCACCAAAACTGCTGCCTACAAGAACTATAATCACAGGAGAGAATAGAGTAAATGTAAAGTAATTTTGGAATCTCAGCGTTATAGATTATGAACCAGCACTGAAAACAAACAAACAAAAATCTTAAATAAAAACATTTTTAAAAGCATTTTGAGTATATCCTTAAATTAAAAAGAAAAATCTCCAAAGTGAAAAAGCTGAGATAAATGTTAACATAGGTGCCTGAGTGGTACTGCGGCAGGGAACACTATTACCTGAGACAAATGCCTGCAACCCATATGGGCACCAGTTCATGTCCTGGTTGGCTCCACTTCTAATCTAGCTCCCTGTTCATGGCCAAGGAAACGCAGCAAGGAATGGTCCAAGCCCTTGCACAATGTGAAAAGACACAATCGAGGCTCTTGACTCCTGGCTTAACCACTGCAACCATTTGGGAAGTGAAACAGTAAATAGAGGATCTCTCTCGCCTTTCAACTCTAAATATCTAATAAAAATCCTTTTTTAAAAATGCCTGAAGTAAAGGCATACACAATGCAAGAAAACATAAAAATATCTAATTTCTTAGATCAGTTTATAGCAAAAAAAGTTTTTGTGTCTACCATCAAAGAAATTCTTCAAGTAGTATTTTTTCCATTGCATTTAAGATTTTCCATTTCATATTAAAATTTTTACTGAAAGAGGACTATCACATTAAAATAAAACCTTCCATTTCTTCAAGCTAGTGACCAAAATATAGAACTGCTCTTTAGTAACAAAGTTATAACTTTTGTTTTGCTAGTCATGTTTTACATGGATGCAATAATAATTTCATCTTCAATGTCAAAATTGCAAGGCTCTGTGGAAAGGAAACAGGAAGAGCCAGAGTCTAGTCTGTATGACTTTGGGCACATAAATTAATCTGCCTCAATATCAATTTTCCATTCTGTGCCTGCGAGATAATAAAATCCTCTGATCACAAAACACTGTGATTAATAAGCTATATGTGATAGATCTATGTGAAAGCACTGTTTAAAAATGAGTTAACATTAGTTCTATGTATCTATCCCAATAAAACAAGTGACAAAATTAAAGCAGAATGAAATGTTTTTCAAAGAACTCTTAGAACTTAGTACTGTATCATTTTGTGTGTGTTCTTTAATTTATTTACTATTTTATGATAGTTTACATCATAAACTGGAATATCCCTCACTCCTACTGATGTCCTCTCTCCCCCAATTATTTCCCTAATATTATTACAATAGTATAGTCCTTCATAAGCAGTCATAAGTCCATCATTCTGCTATTTAAGTGTATCCTGACATTGTAGACATGGACAACGGCAGAGAGTCCAGTAACCTGCTGTCAAGATACATTCGACAGTTTCATTGGGACTCCATCTTTGCTTTGGAAGTAGGGATATATACACAGTTACTATACATCCCCTTAAATGAAAAGCCATAAAACAAAATCAACAACAGGAAGAGAAACAGAAAGTTTAAACAACATGAACGACCAATGCACTGCTGAAGAAATGAAAAAGAAAATTTACAAACCTTGAAAAAACAGTGCTACTGTGAGACCTATGTGTCACTGAAGAAATTAATAAGAAAAAAGCTTTTTTTAAGAAATGAAAATATAAACAAAAATATCAAAACCCATGCGATGTAGCAAAAACCATACTGAAAGGGACATTTATAACATCAGGTGGTTACAATCAGAATCTCTCAAATAAATGATCTAATAATACATTCCAAGGACATTAAAAAAGAAAAAAACAAGATGACAAAAATCACAGCAAAAATAAATGCAACTGAAACGAAGAAACTACAAATCGCAAACAATCTTGCCTAGATACTCAGAGACACACATCAGACACTCAAAAGATCACAATTACAGGCTAAGAGCAACCGACGAGAAGGTAGACAAATATAGAGAACACATGTATGAAAATGTACAACATATACAAGACTGAATATACCTTTAAAAAGTCTTCCATGGATCAGTAGATAAAGACAAACAGAAGCACACATTTGACCCACTGTTAAAAAACCATTTAGGAAGTCTAGTTCTCATACAGAAGTGATTGTGTTCAAGTCCACAACCTGAAAGGCAGCAGTGATGGTACAAGTAGTTGGTCCCTGACACCATGAAAGAGACCAGACTGAGTCCTGCCTCCTGGCTTCAGGTTGGTCCACCCTGGCTGCTACGGGCATTTGAGGATAAGCCAACAGGTGAGATTTCTCTGCGTCTGTCCCTCCCTCCTTTCCTCCCTCTTTTCTCTTTTACTTTCAAATAAATGAAAAGAAAATTATCTTCTTTGTCCAACAAATTTTTAAAAAACAGAAATTATATCATTTATGTTTTTCTAGCACAATTCAATAAAACTAGAATATACAGAACATACTAGGAATTTTTTTAAATCAGCCACAAAAATATCCCAGCTAATAAATGGGCAAAGGACCTGAATAGATATTTCACCCCTCCTGCAAAAAAAAAAAAAAAAACAAAAAAAAGGAAAAAGAAAAAAAACGCCCAAAACCATTCAATATAATCTTACTTGCCCATTTTGCTTTTCTTGTGCTTTGGGGGTCTTTGATTCAAAGATACTGCCTATACAAATGTCTTGATGCAATTAAATCTATGGTTTTTTTTTTTTATTGTGGTTTTGCAGTTTCCAGCTGTGTAATTAATTTGTGAAACATTTTTAGTTGATTTTTTGGTATAGGGTCAGGGGTCCTCTGCTGCTTTATTACTGCGACTTTGCACTATATCCTGAAATCAGGAATTGTGATGCTTTCAGCATTAATTTTGTTCACAATTGCTTTGGCTGGTCATGGTCTTTTTTGCTTCCATAGAAACTTTACAATTGTTTTTACTAGTTAGTTCTATGGTGAATGTCATTTGTATTTTCATGGGGATTGTATTGAATCTATAAATCACTTTGGACAGTAGACATGTTACTAATTTTTAATCATTTTGGGTAATATAGACATGGTGGAATCTAGGTTTCTCTATATGAGGATTAATATCATTAAATAACAGGGATACTATTACTTCCTCCTTTTCTACTTGTATGCCTTCTTTCTTTCTCTCACCTAACAGGTTTGGGATTTTAAAAGTGAGAAAGATTTTGGGCCTGGCGCAGTGGCCTAGTGACTAAAGTCCTCGCCTTGAACATGCTGGGATCCCATATGGGCGCCAGTTCTAGTCCCTTCAGCTCCATTTCCCAACCAGCTCCCTGCTGTGGCCTGGGAAGGCAGTCAAGGACGGCCCAAAGCCTTGGGACCCTGCACCCACGTGGGAGACCCAGAAAAGGTTCCTGGTTCCCAGCTTCAGATCAGCACAGCATCAGCCGTTGCTGTCACTTGCGGAATGAATCATCAGACGGAAGATCTTCCTCTCTGTCTCTCCTCCTCTCTATATTTCTGACTTTGTAATGAAAATAAAATAAATCTTAAAAAAAAAAAGAAAACTTGACAGTGATGCTTTCTTGTTTTGGGCTTTTCTTTGTAGGAATACTTCTGTCACCCATTCATTTATTCATTATTTGTTCGTTCCAGTTGTCAAGGTCTTCCTGGTTCCTTACGATAGGTTATATGTATTCAGAAATTTATCCATTTCTTACAGGCTTTCTAATTTGTTGCCATCTAGTACATAACAGTCCTTTATGATCGTTTGTATTTTCTTTGCTATCAGTTGTGGTATCCCTTTTTTTAAGATTTTTTTTTAATATAAAAGGCAGAATTAAATATGGAGGAGGAGCAAGACAGAGAATCTTTCACCCACTGGTTTATTCCCCAACGGCATGGTAGTACGAGTGAATATAATTCACAACCATCAATAACACACTGTATAGAGAACTTTGAGAAGTTGGTAGGCTCCAAATGCAAACAAAAGATGAGAAAACCTAGCAGTCTAAACTGTATATATGTATTGAAATATTGCACCATACCTCATAAAAACATATAAGTAGTACATATTACTCAAAAACTTTAAAACAATAAAAAAAATTTTTTTTCAAGGACCAGCACAGCGGCACGCCATGCTAATCTTTCAGCTTGTGACACCAGCACCCCATACTGGTGCTGGTTCTTGTCCCAGATGCTCCACATCTGATCCAGTTCTCTGCTTATGGCCTGGGAAAGTAGAAGAGGATCACCCAAGTCCTTAGGACCCTGAGCCAACATGGGAGACCCAGAAGAAGCTCCAGGTTCCCAGCTCAGCTTTGGCCACTGCAGCTGTTCGGGGAGTGAATCAACAAATGCAAGATTTTCTCTCAGTTTCTCTCCTTTCATTGTAATATCTGCCCTTCAAATAAAAACAACCCTTTCAAAGAAAAATGTTTTTTGCAGGGGCAGATCTTTGGCTCAGCATTTAAGATACTGCTTAAAACACCTACATTCTATAAGAGAATGCATGGTTCAACACCCACACTCAGGCCCTGACTCCAACTGCTTTCTAAAGCAAACCTGGAAGGAGTGCCAGCTTTGCCCATTCCTACCCCAGACACTATAGGCATTTGGGTAGTGGACCAGTCAAAGACAGTCCTCCATATGCCTCTTCTCGGCCTCTCTGTGCCTCTTTATCTTTCAAACAAATACATAAACCACATACCCAGATACATACAGCCCCCACAATTATCACAAATTCCAGCCATCAGCCTTTATGTATCTCAGCTGTAAATCACCACAGTATTCAGGAGCTTCTTTATATATTTTCTAGGGAGATTTTTTTCCCCTGCCATACAAAATGCCCGTTCAAGATAGGTAACTTGGTTTACCTTAACTAGATTTTATCCAAATTCACTCTTTCACTGAGGATGTATCACCTAAAGTATTCAAGATTTATATACAAGTTGATGAGATTTTCCCACCTTGCAGAGGCACTCACCTATATTGTTTCGCAATAAGCATTCATTAAAACTCAGTAACATGTTATTTAACTTCATGGTGGTGTTAATTTCTTTTTTTTCTTCCTGTTGTTGATTTTGTTTTGTGGCTCTTCATTTAAGGGGATGTTCAGTAACTGTGTAAAGGAGACTATCATATCTAGCAGCATGTAATTTAACTTCATGGCATTGTAAATTTTTGTTTTTCTTCCTGTTGTTGATTTTGTATTGTGACTTTTCATTTAAGGGGATGTACGGTAGCTGTGAAATGGAGACTATCCTATCCAGATGTGAGGATACAATGTAGTATGGATTTCTACTTCCAAAGATGGCCTTACAATGAAACCATTTACTATATCTTGACAATAGGATACTGGACTCGCTGCCAATATCCATGCCCGCAGTGATGGACATTTGACTGTGTATGAAGAACTATACTTTAGTAATGATATAGAGGAACTCAGTGGGGAGGAGGGAATTGGGGAAGGGATAAGGGAAATCCCAGGGCCTATGGAACTGAATCATAAAATAATAATAATAAAAATAAGTAAAATTAAATTTTAAAAAAATCTAAAGAACATAAAGTTTAGTATGTTCTTATCAAGAGAAATGAAACATACTGGATTGAATACTCAAAAAAAAAAAAAAACCCTACAGATCTACACTGCTAAAAACATGTATGAGCTATAGCACTTTCTGGATTTATGTTTGTTTGTTTGTTCCCAATTATGGCCTCTAAACATTCTCTATTCTTTGCCAGCAAAATGACAGTAAAATAGTCATGATTATTTTATATTTTATCCAGAACTTTTCGGTGTCTTAAAATGGAAATAACTTTATGATATACACCTCAGTATATGCATGAAACAGCAGTTGAGAAGATTCACTTTAAAATTTAACGATAGTAACCTAAATGCAATTTTCACTCAACTGCATATATATGACCCAGTACTATGAAACAACTATACTTTAAACTGATTTCCTACTGGAAACTCACACATTAGAATTGTGGCATACTGCCTACAACACTGGCATCCCATTTGGCTGCCAGTTCATGTTCTAGCTGCTCAACTTCCAATGCAGCTACCTGTGAATGGCCTGGTAAAGCAGAAGGTGCCCGAGTGCCTGGCCGTGCCTTGCTCCTAGTTCAGCCTGGCCCAGCTCTGGTTATTGCAGCAATCTGGGAAGTGAACCAAGGGATGGAAATTGTCCCCTCCCCCTGTCCTATTCTCTCTATAACTTTTATTTTCAAACAAGTAAATAAGTCTTTTATGAAAAATAATTTTCATTTCCTTTTCTGTAACTCTTTCAAATAATTTCTAAAAATTAAATTATATTTCATAGTCGTTCCTGCAAACTTTGTTAAATACCAAAATATATATATATTTTATAAGCAAAATTACATTTATAAAAATGTTGTTAACAGTGTATGGTTCATGGCTTATTGCAAAGTTAAAGCATTTTAAATATTGTCTTACCTGTTCGAGCGCCTGAGCTTTCTCCTGTTCTGCTCTCCTTAGTGATTCCCTTTCAGCTCTCAGTGAAGATGATGACACAGTTTTAACAGACATAAAATCTAGAGTCATCCATTCATCCCTCTGCCAAAAGGGGAAGTCAGTTCAATCATTAACACTCAGTAAGACCATGGATTTTGGAGACACTCATACATAGCTACAGAACTTTGAGCAAGTCTCCCAGTATTTCTTTCGCTTAGTCTCTGCCTTATAAAAAGCAGTAAATATCTTGCAGGGTTATTTCCAGGCAAAGACAAGGTTAACAGACACAGTGCAGCTAGCACGGTGACTGGCACAAATCAAGCAAGTTCCTTGTCACCTTTTTTCCTTCATCTGTGACTAACAATGGGTAACTGTAAGGGCATATAAACTATAAAAAGATTTGTATTCAACTGTTACTGTTATTCAGAAGTTTATGCAATGACACAGAGAAACAAAACTGAGCGAAGTCCACTCACTTCAGAAGTTAATATGTAAGGCTGCATACGAATATGGGGGATGCAAGGAAAACGTATCATGGGCTAGAACAGAGCCCAGCACTCATCTCCTAGCGGGAGGAGAGCAATCAGAAGGCTCAGCGAATACCATTTCTGACAAGATTATTCAGTTTGTTTTCAAAGAACAATTTTTTCTCCTAAAGAAATCACAATCATAACTCTCTATAGCATTCATCTATTCTTAGAAGTTGACATTTCCTTCTTTAAAATCAAGTAGCTCGCATACCTGAATAACTTGGCTGTCATCTTCCTTTTCTAACTTGTCATCTTTCACTTTCCAGGCCTTTTCCTTGGAAGAAGTCTGGGATGGCACAGCTTCAACCCACTCTTCTTCAGAGCTCTAGGGATATGCAAAATTTAAGTAAAATTCTCAAATTAGTATACTTTATATAAAATGTCTACATTGTTATGGACAGAGATTAAGCTTCGCAAATGCTACTCTGCATTTCCAACAGAATAACATCAAAAACTGGAAGGGCGGGGAAGAGCAGCATGTAAACCTATTATTTCAGTGCAAGTTAACAAGAACAACGAAGTTATTTCACCTTCTTATCAGTGTATTACTAAACCAAAGGAAAGCACAAAAAAACGGAACAGCAGGGTAGAAGATTCACTTCAGCACAGAGTTTCAGTACCTATCAACATGAATTAGTACTTCAAACGTTTCCTTCATTAGAAGAAACATCTCCCAAGCAAATAAGTTAGTTGCTTGCCCCTAAATTTCAAATGTTGAGATTTCCCTGGATCTAAGAATTGAGACAGGGAGACAGGCAAACAGGCGAATAAGGCATTTTACATACTATGTCTAAATAATAAATTTGTGTTAAATAAACAAGGAAATATTTAATCAACATCCCCTATGCCATTCAATAAATTACCTCTCTCTTCTATGTCACAGTCAATTCTCTTTCTTGTATATGGATTATCACACTCATTCCTTAAAGCAACTGTTATTTTGGTTTTTACAAATTAGGAAAACTTCCCAAAATTAAGTAATCTGACCAAGCAACATCGTATTCAAGTGTGAGAACCACAATAAGAACCTAATTATCTGTCTACAAGTTCTGGAAAATTATCTAAAGTTTCCTTTGAGGAACCCATATCTGTCAAAAGATGTAATACACAGAGAATAAACATTTTTTTTGCTCTGCCACCCCAACTGCTAAATGCTTCCCAAGCTAAAGCAGATTTTGTTCATTCATTCCCTCAATTAGGCCTTGATTCTGATTTATGGAAACCTTAGAAGCATTGATTTATAGCTGCAATTTTAAAATAATCACTATATATACATATGTGTGTATGTGTGTGTATATATGTATATATAAAAAACAGACCTACTCATATTTACATTACCAAGCTAATTTAGAGAAATCTGGTTCCCAATTCTTGTGTCATCCATTACAAAGGGAGTTTATAATCTAAGAAAATCAGCATGTTCTTTGGGTAAATGCCAATTTGTTAAGATCAAAGTAAAATAATTTAAAAATTGGTATTCCGCAGAATTATATCATAGGTCTTCTGTAACTTCAGATATTTCTGACCAATGCTTGGAAATCTCCTAACCGCAACCATCAACTGCTTCACCATCATATCCGTAAGCAGTCTCCTACTCCAGAATGATCCAACCATCACGATCCACAAACTGCCCTCAAGTGAGAATGTCTCAATGCAAACCAGAATTCCTCTCCCAATCTTGGTTCAGTTCTCTTTTCCATTCTTTTAATTACTCTCCGTTGAAATATTTTCCAATTTTATATTTATGTGCTTAATGTTCTTCAAGCAATATAGTCCAAAGAAATAGGAGCTACTTTTGCTTCTGCCTACTTTGTATCCCCAAGTAGCTAATTTAACACCTGGAAAAATATCATTATCTTCCTCAATAACCTCTCAAGCTTTCTACCAACTTCCATCTCATTCCAACTTTCATCAAATAATCTCTCCTCCTGCTTGGTCCAGAAAAAAATGGGGTTGTGCCTACATGTACCTTCTACTGACTCTTCCTTTTCAAGGTAGGTCCTCCCACAGACATTTTTACTTAACCATTTCTGAATCCTGTTCTACCAATTACCTCTCTCTTACAATGGTAACCAAAATTTCCTAATGGTTTAGATATAAATTCAAGTACTTCCTACTTGTTCTTTTTCTTTGAGAAAAGAGTATCTTCCTTGAACCTGTGTATTTCTCCAGAGTCAATTCATTTTCTGATTTCCATTCTAAGAAGAACTTCTTCAAAGACCGATCTATGTCCAATGCCTTCATACATTTCTTGAAAATGTAAAACATGGCTACTATTCTCATAAATAACTTCTTCATATTCACTACTGGCTTCCACTTTGTCAAATTAAACAAAAAATAAGAGTTAGGGTCATTGTTGATTCACCTCCTTAACTTTCAAGTTTTCCTCCTACTCTGTTTCTTTCTCTTCTCCTTCAAATATTCTTCCTACTTGGACCAGTCCTTAACCATCTCATGTTGTCTGGGGTGCCACCCTCTACCCACAACATCTTTTTTGCTGTTGTTATCAAAATAGTTCCTTCGCATCATTTCAATCTACTCCAATAGCTTGAACTGCCACCAAAGGTGCTGAAGTCTCAAATTTAATCAAATTTCAGCAATGTAACCAACCACCTACTATCCTTGAATGTCATGTTGAACTCAGTAGGATCCAAAACTCAATCCAGTCACCTCTATAAAACCTGTCTCTCCAACTATACCCCTGAACTGAGTTACTAGGCATCACACTCCACCTCCCCCAAGGCAAAACTCATTATTACCCTGCCCACCCATCTAAGCCTACTATCTTCAATTCCAAAATAGTTACAAGAAATGCAATACAGTGAATACCAAGTAACTGTAAAGGGTGGACCGCCTCCATCTTTAGACACAGGTATTGTTAGAACAGTAGGTACTGGATCCAATTCAAATTAATCTAAATCATTTCACAGGAATTTGAAATCAAGTCCAGATGGGCTGATCTAAAACAAAGAGATGGGCATGGCAATACAGTAGGTTAAGCTAGGCTTGGGGCACCACCATCCCTGTCACAGTACCTGGGATCAAGTTACAACCTCTGCCTTCTGAACCAGCTTCCTGCTGCTGTGCCTGACAGACAGCAGAGGTATAGGTGCTTGGGGCCCTGCCATGCATGTAGGAAACCTGAAATGGAGTTTCTAGAGCCTGGCTTCAGCCTGGCCCAGTCCCAGCTGCTGTGTACATCTGAGGAATGAGTCAGCAGATGGAAGATATCTGCCATGTAAATAACTTAAAAGATGAGTAAACGTACAAAAAGAATAAGCTTTAAAAATAATGAAGGATTGGGCCTGGCGCGGTGGCACAAGTGGTTAAGGTCCTCACCTTGCATGCACAAGGATTCCATATGGACACTGGTTCTAATCCCAGCAGCTCCACTTCCCATCCAGCTCCCTGCCTGTGGCCCAGGAAAGCAGTCGAGGACGGCCCAAAGCTTTGGGACCCTGCACCCATGTGGGAGACCCAGAAGAGGCTCCTGGCTTTGGATTGGCATAGCATCAGCCATTGCGGTCACTTGGGGAGTGAATCACTGGACGGAAGATCTTCCTCTCTGTTTCTCCTCTCTGTATATCCACCTTGCCAATAAAAATAAATCTTTAAAAAAATAATAATGAAGGATTAAAAATAAGAAAAAAGGGCACTGCAATGGTTGCTCTGCTATGAATAATGGAATTCACACACACAAAAAAAATCAATCCCTAAAAAGGGTTCAGAAGAACAAAATGAAAAACAGCAAGAGTATTCCTGATTCTAGTTACAGCCATTCCTGAGAAGAACTGATCTCCCACCTTACCCCCATCATGGAATGCATTTTTTTTTAATTATTTGAAAAGCAGAGTTACAGAAAAAAAGAGACAAGGAAGGGAGAAGGAAAAGGAAGAGAGGGAAAGAGACATAATCTTCCATCCCTTCCATCCACTAATTCACTTCCCAAATGTCCAGAGAGGTCGAGGTTGGGCAGAGTTGAAGCCAAGAACCTGCAGCTTCTTCAGGCTCTCCCCTGTCCATGCAGGAGGCATTCACTTGGGCCATTCCGGCTTTCCCAGGTGCATCAGCCAGGTGCTCTAACAGAAGTAGAGCAGTTGGAACTCAAACGACACCCATATCGAATGCCAGTATCACACTCAGAGGCTTAACTTGCTACGTCACAACACCGGCCCCTGAGAAATCCTCTATTTGTATAAACAAACTTAAGCTTGGTTTCTCTAACCAGCTACCAAAAGGCTTAACCAAATACATAACTCCCTCTTTTCCATTCTAAAAGCACCTTAGATGGAAACTTACTACCTCTCACCAGTCTCCTGAACTCCAGTACATTTCATTCTCCGGTTCCTGACTCCAAATACATTTAGGAAACAAGGGAGACATCTGACCAGACTACCCCTGCCCTATGATGCCCTGTCACAAAAATGAGTTATTCTTCTTTCTTAACAACAAAATCCAATGTTCTTTGGGAAAGTAATATGCCCAGACGTGAGATTAAGTATCCAAGGAGGCCAACTGCGTGGACGTTTACAAAGTCAGATTAAGAAAGAAAAGAGTATCTTCTTTCCTATTATCTGCACTAAGAGGCAAAGCTATTAAAATGATGGGGGTGTGAGACACCACAAGCCCTGGTCCCAGAAGACCATAACAGCACTAGATTGCCTGATCTCTTTCATATGAGAGAAAATTAAACTTCTATCTTGTTTAATCAACAGCTATTCTGAGCTTTTCTAATAAATGCAGTGAAACCTAATTAGATGGCTCATTCCCTGTTGAATAAAGTAGAAGCTTTTGGTTTACAAAACCCTATCACTCTCGGCTTCATCTCCCTTTACCTACTCTCTTGCACTGTGATACGCTGCTCTCAAACTGTCTACAGTTAATATTTGTATATCACAAGTGCCACGTTATCTCATAATTCTGTATCATTGTTTTCAAAGTTGCATATGCATGAAATGCCAGATACACCTTTATTCACCTGATTTTTAAGTCTCAACTGAAGCAATATTTTCTCTATAAGACTGAATATTAAATTATTTCTCAGCACCCAGTACTGCTATGTGATCATGTAGTTATATGTTAATGTCTATCAAATTAGAAAATGAGTCCTTGAAATGTTTCTTTTTCCTACATAATTATATTCCCATGTCCCATGCACTGAAATTTAACTGAAACCCCTTTTTTCTTTTCTTCCATAGCCCTTGTCAGAAACTTGAAGCAGCTGCCTAGATTAAAGCACTAAATGCCAGGAACTGAATGAAAAACTCACCTGTGACAGTTTATTATACTTATTATTCATATGCAGAACACTACACCTAGACATCT